TCATTAATAGAATACAAGATTTTCCTCTCTCTCTCTTTTCCTCTCTCTCTCTTGCTCTTTCTCTCTTCGATCTATTATTCGATCTCGAATCAATCTAGATTTTAATATTCTCCATAATTTTCATTATTCCTATATTGCCATAAATCAATCAAGATGATATTTGGATTAGGAATATCCATAACCCAATTATGATGATATCTATGATCTATATATTTTCTAGATTCGAATATTCGAAATATATTCATTTCTTTTTTCTAATCCATTCTAAGAAGAAATTTTCTATGAATTCAAATTTTATTATGCCCATGATATTATCTATCCTAATGAGAAAAGAATATCCATGATCCAAATATGATGATATCCTAATATTCGATTCCGAGAAAATTATATTTTCTTGATAGAAATGAATAATTTTATTTATCTTTACAACCTTTAAATATATTAAGAATAGAAAAATATCATGTCTCATCATTAATAATTAGGATCTAAATATAACCATTCCCATTTATTAATAAGATCATATTTCCATAGATTCCTTCTAGATCCAACAAAAGCATTTAAAGAAATTAATTATAACCATTTTTATTTATGATCAGAATCAAATCCCATTCGTAATATGAATAAAATGAATGAAATAGATAGAAAGAAGAGAAATATCAAATGGTCAGAATCAATTTTGAAAAAAAAATTCCAAAATAATCTGAAATCTATCGAGATTAAATATTACTCAAAGATTAAGAAATCAGAATTGCAATGAAATAGAAATCATTTTAAAGAAGAAAATATCTATAATCCACAACGAATATATTATTAAAAGAAGAATTCATCTCAAATTTCATCTAATTTGTCTTCGAATCCATGAACTTTTAAATTAATAATCAAATATCCCCAAAAAAATCGAATCATTCCCATCAATTGCCCTCTTCTTATCTGAATTATCAGTTACTATATTTATATTGCGTTATTTAATGATTGCTCATTTTATATTCCGAGATAACGTAGATGTTCCCTCCATTAATATTTCCATTTTTCTTCTTGAGATATCATCGTAAGAATCGAATCTGATGAAAGTGTGATAATGATATTTGCGTTTGATTTCTATGAATATTTGATCATTTCTTCGATGGTAGGTATCTCTCGAAATTGATAATGGGATCCATCATTATTCTATCTCTCCATCTTCCTTCCAGATGTTTGGGATGGATGAGATTGAAATCTCGATTCATTCCTTTAATTGAAAATATTTTTTTATATATAGAGAAATGAGGAGTATATTTTCCCCGTATGTCTGCAGGGGACATTCGCGCGTGGCTCTGGATTCATCAATGGTTTTGGGTTCCCGACGCCTGGCACTTCCCACCGGCTCGCTGGGACGTCGAAGCTCAGTTGATCTGAGTTGCGTCCCTTAAGGAAGCCACCCGAAGAGATACTAAAGAAACCTGGGCACATAAGTGGCCAACTGCTTTCGCTCAGTGCCCAAGGCTCCAGGAAAACGATGTGGATAATAAATCTGCAAGGGATCTAGCGAGAAGCTTTTGCCTTGGCTTTGGCAGCCCCTGGTCTCCGCACCACGTCAGTGCCCGTGGTGAACTTTCTCAGGAACTCATCACGGACCTTGGGATCCGCCATGTCCTCCATCTGCACTAGGACCGTCTTGTCTGCAAAGCGGCGCTCGGGGAATGCTTCCTTCAGGCAGCTCAGGCGACGATTGTCCAAGCTCCAAGCCATGTCCATGTACTCGACGACACGCATAGGAGGAAGCTCGTCAGCACACATGCCCTTGCGAAGCTTGTCCACTGTTTCTTGCAAAGTGCGGCCGTCGCGAAAGTGTGCCGCAATGCTGTTTTGAGTAAAGCGGATGGTGTGCAGCAGCAACCGCCTCCGCCGAGTCTCAAATAACCGGCGCTGGGTGGTGTGGCATGATGCAGAAGTGGTTTCCACGGTGGCTTCGTCCTGCACGTGACAAAGAAGTCTTAAGAGACTGACCGAGAACGGCAACGAAGAGTTCTTTCAGAGATCATGCTGCCACATGCTTTCTGCCCATGAACAGCGTGGACCAGACTGTAGACGGTTCGAAGCTCAACATCTAAGGAAACGGGCTAGCTTCATCCGATAGAAGCACAGCTGATCTGAAGAGGGCATCCAACCGGTTGTCTCCATTCTCATCGCGTGCTTGCCTGCGGAATCAAAATGGACCGTGTATGTGATTGCGCTGGTCCTCTGCAGGCAATGAGACCAACGCCGATTCCACCATGGCCAGGGCAAGGTATGTGGAATCATCTGCGCCGTTCATCATAAAAGAATCACCCTGGTCGACGAAGCCAGCCTTGATGCTCGCGGCATGCAAGGCTTCAACAACAAGACCCTGCCACGTCTCACACAACGTGTCAGTAATGCGTCAGTTATATCATGAGTATTATTGCCTATTGCTATGACTATGTATATTGTGTGACTCGGATTATTATTGTACAGTATTGTTATTTTGCTATTGTATCTGTATAGTGGGATAGTGGTATAGTAGCATGTCACATGCTCGCCATGCACGTGCGGCTAACGCGGCTTAAACTAACCCTACTTCGGCCCAGCAGCATGCTCCAAAAGCTGAAAGCACGGGACATCCAGCTTTGACTCCAGAACAAGCAGTCTCTTCGTGAGCGTGCAATTTGTGGGCTCCTCTCCAGGTTGCGCGTGCTTCAGGAGAAGTGCCCGGAGGTTCCACAATCGAGCTCGTCGCGTGGACAGCGGATCCGGGGAAGCCATGATGTCGTCCAGCGCTTTGTCTATGCCTGATGGACTATTAAAAACAGCCTTCTACGCTGATGCCTCATGCCTTGCTTTCATGTGGAGCAAATGTGGCTTGAAACTTGAATGTGCAAAGCATGCTGTTCCTGCAGTGGTTGAAGGTGGAGGTGACACTGGCGGGGAAACATCTTCGTCGTCAGCAGCAAGGGCCGTCCACGATGCCGTGCTCTCTGTCTCTGCACCTGCAGTTTGCACAGATGTCAAGCAACTAGCCAAACATGGTGGCAATCCAATCGCGAGCACCAGAAGCACCTAGACACGCAGACCCTGGGCCTGTCTGTGCGTATCGCCCCAGCCGAGGCTCAACCAACTGGCGCTGGGTGGTGTGGCATGATGCAGAAGTGGAGGCCGCGTGGGCTCCGTCCTGACCGAGAACGGCCACTTAGATGGGTTCCAGGATTCTGCGCAGGAACATGCTTTCTGCCCACGCTGTATCAGACTGCAGACGGTTCGAACCTCAACATCTAAGGAAACGGGCTAGCGGCTAGCTTTATCCGATAGAAGCACAGCTGATCTGAAGAGGGCACCCAACTGGTTGTCTTTACTCTCGTCGCGTGCTTGCCTGCGGGAAAATGGACCGTGTGTGTGCTTGCGCTTGATTTGCTGGTCCTCTGGAGGCAGTGAGACCAACGCTGCGTCCACCATGCCCAGGACGTAGTATGTGGAATCATCTGCGCCGTTCATCATAAAAGAATCGCCCTGGTCGACGAAGCCAGCCTTGGTGCTCGCTGCATACAAGGCTTCAACAACAAGACCCTGCCACATCTCACACAACGTGTCACATCCTCGCCATAGACGTGCGGCTAACGCGGCTCAAGCTAGCCCCACTTCGGCCCAGCAGCATGCTCCAAAAGCTGAAAGCACGGGACATCCAGCTTTGACTCCAGAACAAGCAGTCTCTTCGTGAGCGTACAATTTGTGGCCTCCTCTCCAGGTTGCGCGTGCTTCAGGAGAAGTGCCCGGAGGTTCCTCAATCGAGCTCGTCGCGTGGACAACGGTTCCGGGGAAGCCATGATGTCGTCCAGCGCTTTGTCTATGCCTGCCGGACTATTAAAAAATAGCCTTCTACGCTGATGCCTCATGCCTTGCTTTCATGTGGAGCAAGTGTGGCTTGAAACTTGAATGTGCAAAGCATGCTGTTCCTGCAGTCGTTGAAGGTGGAGGTGACACTGGCGGGGAAACATCTTCGTCGTCAGCAGAAAGGACCGTCCACCATGCCGTGCTCTCTGTCTCTGCACCTGCAGTTTGCACAGATGTCAAGCAACTAGCCAAACATGGTGGCAATCCAATCGCGAGCACCAGAAGCACCTAGACACGCAGACCCTGGGCCTGTCTGTGCGTATCGCCCCAGCCGAGGCTCAACCAACTGGCGCTGGGTGGTGTGGCATGATGCAGAAGTGGAGGCCGCGTGGGCTCCGTCCTGACCGAGAACGGCCACTTAGATGGGTTCCAGGATTCTGCGCAGGAACATGCTTTCTGCCCACGCTGTATCAGACTGCAGACGGTTCGAACCTCAACATCTAAGGAAACGGGCTAGCGGCTAGCTTTATCCGATAGAAGCACAGCTGATCTGAAGAGGGCACCCAACTGGTTGTCTTTACTCTCGTCGCGTGCTTGCCTGCGGGAAAATGGACCGTGTGTGTGCTTGCGCTTGATTTGCTGGTCCTCTGGAGGCAGTGAGACCAACGCTGCGTCCACCATGCGCAGGACGTAGTATGTGGAATCATCTGCGCCGTTCATCATAAAAGAATCGCCCTGGTCGACGAAGCCAGCCTTGGTGCTCGCTGCATACAAGGCTTCAACAACAAGACCCTGCCACATCTCACACAACGTGTCACATCCTCGCCATAGACGTGCGGCTAACGCGGCTCAAGCTAGCCCCACTTCGGCCCAGCAGCATGCTCCAAAAGCTGAAAGCACGGGACATCCAGCTTTGACTCCAGAACAAGCAGTCTCTTCGTGAGCGTACAATTTGTGGCCTCCTCTCCAGGTTGCGCGTGCTTCAGGAGAAGTGCCCGGAGGTTCCTCAATCGAGCTCGTCGCGTGGACAACGGTTCCGGGGAAGCCATGATGTCGTCCAGCGCTTTGTCTATGCCTGCCGGACTATTAAAAAATAGCCTTCTACGCTGATGCCTCATGCCTTGCTTTCATGTGGAGCAAGTGTGGCTTGAAACTTGAATGTGCAAAGCATGCTGTTCCTGCAGTCGTTGAAGGTGGAGGTGACACTGGCGGGGAAACATCTTCGTCGTCAGCAGAAAGGACCGTCCACCATGCCGTGCTCTCTGTCTCTGCACCTGCAGTTTGCACAGATGTCAAGCAACTAGCCAAACATGGTGGCAATCCAATCGCGAGCACAAGAAGCACCTAGACACGCATCCCCCCGGGCCTGTCTGTGCGGGCGGTGATGTCGGGTATGGGCTACGCACCGCCTCGCCTTGGCCCGCCTGTGCGGGCTGTGACGGCGGGTGTGGTCTGCCAGTTCCGGGTCGGGGCTGGGCAGAAGCGAAGGGTGTTGCAACCGGGGCTTGGGCAGCCTGAGCAGGTGACTGGCCCAGGGCTGAAGCCAAACTTGATCCTGCTGTGGCACCAAGCGCTGCCACTGTGGCTAGCATCGCTGTCCCTCTTGCGTAGGAATCTGGGCTAGCCTCGCGATACACACGGCGCCGGCGGTCATCGGATCTGGGAGCAGCAGCCGCCAGCACGGCAGCAACACCCAGTGCTGCACCTGCTGAGGCAGCTGCTGCTTGATACAAGACCGAGGAAGGCGAGGAAGCGCTGCCCTGCTGTGCCACGGATGAACGAACAGGAATTCCCAATTCACACATGTCGGTGTAGCTGCGCACATGCTCCAAGTACTATGACCCAGATCCCGGGTTCACGCAACCGATCTTTACATTGTTGAGATCAAAGAAGCCCTGAGGTTTAGGGATGGGAATCCATGCTTGATCCATCTCCCCATTTTCTGGATGACAAAACAAGAAAGTGCCTGTGAGCCGGGTATGTGCGCACAGGCACAAACCGTGCTTCACGTTCAAGATCTTGAAAGCATGGCCCGAGTGCGTGAGCGACGGAATGATCCACAACTGCCCATCACCATTCGCATTTCCAGGCGCTAGGAGAGTCAAAGACCCTGACCAACTGTACCCCTCTCCATCTGAATGAAGGCATTGGCACTGCTGCTCATCTCTGTACCACAGGCGAAAAACTGCATTTTGCTCGAAGGCATCCAGCAGTGACATCCGGGCCATGGCTGGCACAATGCTAAGTGTATTGGCACCACGAACGCGGTGCTAATCGATGAGCTTCCAAGAGATCACACCTTCCCGGGGAGTACACTGAAGGTGCCCGTGCAAACCATCAGTCTTTCAACCATGTTAACTTGAGGGGCAGGCCGAGGCCAACGAAAGCTAGCCCTGAATGTTGCGTGGCTTCCTTCTAGCTAAGGCTCCTTTAAACATACCTGCACCGTACACCCCGACAACAATGCACACAAGACCTCGCCACCAGACTCCGCAACACCCCCCGCCCCTCCCACACACACCACTCACCACACCAGACCACCCCTTGGACCTGTCTGTCACCTGGGTGTTGGGCTGAAAGTGCAAAGCGTGCGTGATCACAATCCTTCTTCACTCCGTCCACGCAACCACGGACCACTGACACCACTACCGCAATCCCACACCACCACCAGCACCACACCCTTTTGCATCGCCATGTGTGGCGTTGTGGTCCGTTTTTGGACAATCTCTGCGCTTGTCTGCGAAACCGCAAAGAATGTCCAAAACAGGTGGTTTCAAGCAGCAAAGCTGAATAGCAAGCAAACACCCAGCAACAACATGACATCGTCATCTTTGGCTAGTATCTGGTGAGGTAACCCAGCGTCTAAGCGTTCGGGCATCCCCCCCCTCCACGACCCCCCTCAACCCATGCCCACCCCTCTCCCTGCTCCCCCTTTGGTTCAAACCCAATATTCTGGGGATGAAAGTAGAACACTGCAGCTGACGACGTGGGGGTTTCCCAAACCCAGGAACATCGGACAAAGCTCTTGTAAGTGGAACGACTTTGTTCGCACCAGGATCGCGTTCGGGTCTTGTGCGAGACACCGGCATCCGGCAGAATATAGTACATCGACACATCTCCAGGTTACACTGGCGGAGGGCATGTCAGGATCCAACCCGACATGCGCCACGTGCGCATGTGGGCCCTGCGGAGGGGGTTGAGGAACACCTAGTTGAGTCCGAAGTCCACATGCAATGCACTTCAAAAAAGTCCCCTCAAATACATCCAGGGCTAAAACCCGCAAGGCCTCAAAAAATCCCTGAAGATGGAATGGACCTGGAGAATCCATGAGCTTTGAGTCCTTGGTTTAGGGCATTTTTTTGGGCTGAAGTCTTACGTCCTGGATCGCTCAACCCCTCTCTCGCCAGTGTGAGCACCAACTAAAGGAAGTTGGATAGCTACACGGCCACAGCAGCTTGGGAGAAGGGGAATTGAAGGTGTTGAGTAAGAGTCGTCCCCTTGAGGGCCTTATAAAGCAGCCTTAAACAAAAGAAACACCTTGGGACTTCGCGGGTAGGTTTGAGGATGCCACCGATGAGATGAGAAAACCCTGCCAGCTTCTCTCGCCTTAAGTTCTTATTCTCGAGCATTACAACGGCCCGAAACCCGAATAAAACCAAAGACTGCTTCGTGCCATGTACGCGCTTGTCTTTTCAGGGGCGGGCTTGGAGCTAGACCGACTTGCTCTGGTCCCCTTCTCCCTGCGACACGGCTAAGCACCCGGCCATGTGCGTATGTGCATGAAAAAAGCACGGCTCTGCTCCGACATGGGGTGCGCAAAACCAAAAGCGCCGTGCTGCTAGACGTTCCCCTTATACTAACAGCTCCTTACTAGGGATTATAATACCCCCTAGTATGATCCCTATCAAGGAGCTCTTAGTATAAAAGGGGAACATCCCAGCTGCCCGATGTTATCAGCTGACAGTGTTTTTGCATCCCCCGAGGTCGTAGCAGGGACAAAGGGATGAGACCCTAAGCTCTGAAAACCTGAAACCCGAAAACCTGAAAACCTAAAACCCTGAAACCCTAGAACCCTAAAACCCTGAAACCCTAGAACCCTAAAACCCTGAAACCCTAGAACCCTAAAACCCTGAAACCCTAGAACCCTAAGACCCTGAAACCCTAGAACCCTAAAACCCTGAAACCCTAAAACCCTAAAACCCTGAAACCCTAGAACCCTAAAACCCTGAAACCCGAAAAGTGAGTCCTCACGGGGCGAAGCTGCAGCGGGGCATCTCAGCCCATGCGGGCCCAGGGTCTTTGAGCTACAAGGCTCTTTTCAAGATATGGTTGAAAATATGGTTTAGGGTTTAGGGTTTAGGCCTCTTTTTTCTTCTCGGCAATGCAGAGCACCCACTCCGGTTCTGACCATCCTAGCCTTAGAGAAAAGCCCCCAGTTCTTCGAAAAGTCTGCCCGACACACCCACACACACACACAGACTTCCCCAAAGCTGACCCGACCCCGCAGCCCCGGCAGGTTTCACAGGGCCCTCGATCCGCCAAAGAACCCTAAGACTCTAAACCCTAAAAGAAAGAGCAGCGGGTTTCCATTACTTCCTGCGAAAAAGGTAGCGGCCGTCAAAAAAAAGGCAAGTTTCACCCGGAAGAGACACATGAAACACCAACGCAAGTGGCACAAAACATTAGCAGCTTAGAACTTCGCTTGGGGCTGCTCAACTCCTTCCAACACCCATCATACAGTTTCAATAATTTCTGAGGGCTTTGGGCAGCTTAGATTAGGTTTGCCAGGACTCAAAACCGTTAGCCCTTTGGTCTTAAACCCTAAACCCCTAAAACCCCTTACTGAAGCCTAAGCCCCTAAAGCCTAAACTCCGCCGCTGCTTGCCAGGAGGCGCCTTCAACCCTTTAACGCCCTTTGACCGAACCTGGTAGCTGTTTCGGGCTAAACCCTAAAACCCTAAAACCCTAAAACCCTAAAACCCTAAAACCCTAAAACCCTAAAACCCTAAAACCCTCAAACCCTAAAACTTTAAAACCCTAAACCCCTAAAACCCTAAAACCCTAACACCCTAAAACATCCTAAAACCCTAAAACCCTAAAGGGTTCACGGTTCAGGGGATTTCGTGCGATCCTAAGTGCCACAAGGGGCCCGAGCCTTGTAAGCCCCTGAAAGCCAGGAACTTTCAAGCTGGCGTTTAGGGGTTTAGGGTTTAGGGTTTACTCGCTGAGATTGATGGCTTGGGGTTTCACACGGAAACGCGCTGACGCCCCAAAACCATCGCGAACAACGCCAACACGCGAGCGTCGCGAACACAGCGAACAGGGCATCGGAGAGTTTAGGGTTAAGCCCTTTTAGGTTTTCGGACGAAATCCTTTCAAAACATGATCCCCTGAAACCCAAGAGCCCGGGATATATATATATATATATATATGAACCATCCCAAAATCCTGAGAGCTCTAGACCCTGCACTCCTGCAAACTGAAATGCGTTCCGCTGCGGCTGTCCTTCGCAAGCGTCGCTTTAAGCGCACGAACGACAATTTAAAATAGAGAGTCGGGGACTTTTAGTCTCCAAGAGCTCGCGTGGGCGTAGATGCGGTCTAGGGCTTTTGGGTTCATGGAAGCAGCTATGGTCCTGGACCTCTTGTGGAAAAATTCTCTAGCTCAAGCCCGTCGTGCGAGCGAAGCAGCACCGAAGTGCAGCAGCTACGGGCGTCTCCCGGCATGCTGTGTTGGGGCTTAGGGTAGCTTTAGGGATCAGGGTTCAGGGTGTAGTTAAGGGGCTGTTGAACTGGTAGCCCCTACACCCAAAACACCAGCACCCATGGCCGCGGCCCTTCGGATCGAGAATGTGAGCGCCGAAGCTTCAAATGCATGGGCGTGGGCTACTGGGCATGACATTCCAGACGTTTGTGCCAAAACTCTAAACCCTAAATCCTCTCCCTCTCTCTCTCTCTCCCAGGCATTCGAAACGTAAACCCTTAAACCCAAAAAAACTTTACATAAACTTTGCGGCTACAGGTTCGAGGGCTCTTGGAGTTTGGAGCCAGGGCCTTTTTTGAACGTCCGGCGCCCCGAGCAGGAGCCTTATGACTTAGGTTGTCTAGGGTTGCCTGGTTACAGGGATGCAACAAAAGCTTAGGATTTGGGGTTTAGGGTTTGGGGGTTTTTGGCACACGCATTGCTGGACGAACCAGAATGAAGGAGCAATGTTTGCTTGCCATCTTGCAAGCAGCATCCTTTTGCCCAGCTCCATGAAGTGCTAGATGGCTGCCAACACCCTGAACCCTGAACCCTAAACCCTAAACCCTAAGCCCCAAGCCCTAAACTTATTAAACCCTAAACACTAAACCCTGTTTTAACCTAGGACTGCTGAGGCTCCCTAAACCCCAAACCCCAAACCCCAAACCCTAAACCCTGAACCCCAAATCCTAAACCCTAAACCCTGACCCGTGACCAGGGCGTAAGTGGCATCTAAGGTGTGCATGCCGTACAACCTCTGTTGGGAATGAAAGATTTACCAGCTCTCCATACCTACTCTTTGCTTCAGAACCCCCCCCCCCCCAAAAAAAAAAAAAAAAAAAACGAAAAAAAATCAGCTTGCGCCACCCTAAACCCTAAACCCTAAACCCTAGACCCTAGACCCTAAACCCAGGCCCCACGCCCAAAGCTGTAGCCTCCCTTCAGATCGACTGCGACTCTGCTGGGCGAAGCAGCATTGAGAAAGGGCTCCTCGCAGAGGGTTTCAAAGCAGGTCATAGGACTCTGAAGGCTTTTAGGGCCTTTTGACGTGCTTGGGTTGGAT